CTAGAAGCTTAACAGTTTTCTACTCTAACAGTAACATATTTCCATTAAAAATCAACTGCTCTCGAATTTGGAATGTCTTTTCTTATCATCTAAATTTCAACTGCAATGTAGATATCAACAAGCATGAACAAAACCATGTGCTATCTTCAAGATTTTCATTGCAGTTCCACAACTTTGATTATAACCAGATTATTATCACTCAATACGCAAGCTTCAGCATATTTTTCCTTTTACTCACTTCTCCAGAATAGATTTTTATTTTACTCTTACTTAAATTATCATTGCATCTTTTTACAGTTGCATATCCAACCATTTAAAGTCAATCTCACGAGCAGATTTTTTCGGCTTGCGACGATCACACCAACGTGAATCCCTTTTCTTTGTCAGTCTGCTGACTCATACTATGTGATGCAAATATTCTCTAAAATATATTTTAATTCTCACTCAAACATAGATCTAATGTATCAAATATCCAAAAAATGTGTAAATATTTTGGCTTTCATTGTTAACAAGATAATCAATATGTTTTGAGACATAAAATTAAGACCTTAGCTCTTGATTCTACTTCTATTCTCTTGCTTTTACTCACAATAGTTTTCATTTTCATCTCATCAATTGTCATTACCATCAACACCGGACTTCAAAATTTCTGATGCAAGTAATATTGCATTTTCCTTCCCGCAATTAATCTTGCGACAAGGATTGCAAACACACACTACAGAAAAAACTTCAATCGTATTCTGTATGGTAAATATCTTGTTATGTTTCTTATCATATCATCAAACATATCCATGTAATGCATCTTAACATCAAATTTTTGTGGACCTTCTATCGTTTTTGGATGATCCTACTCCAAATTTAAAAACACCTTTATGTTTTATCATCTTTTAACTCTTCTTCACATGATCTTCTAATTAAAAAATACTCTGGATGATTTATACATTAAACAGTCTTTCAATTCCTTGTTAATCATATTTTCATTTCCTTGTGATTTTTTTAATCCCTTTGTATCCCATTCACATGTATATGTATGTATTTTTTTTAATAATAATTGATTTATTTTTTTTTAAATGGTGTTGTGTGAACAAAGTATATATACAATTGACAAAATAAAAAGTATCCGTTGAGCATTGACGTTAAATTTTTTACTTTGAGATCTGATCCAAATTTCGTTCCTTTCCAATCAGCAAGGTTCTAATTGTTCGATTTCCACAGCCACTAGTTACACTTCCATGTCTATCCACTTCTAGTTTCGTCACAAACAGAATAATCTTTGTTGAGAGAACTTATGAGAGAATGTTGTTTGCAAAGAGTGCAAAATCATGCCACCTCTGATAGGTCTGGTTGAGCACAAAGAAACGTTTGGAATACCTTTAAATTGTTTAGATTTTTATGTCGCTATCTTATCTTATCTTATCATAGTAAACGTATGTGATAACACAAAACCGATCTTCATGACAAGAACAAGAACATCTGACACATAAACCTCTAACTAATTCCATATTACCTCTTGGAACTAAGTCAAAGTTGAACTTTGCTGCTTCTTTTCGTTACTTCATTGGAAAAAAATTAACATAAAGCATACAAAAAATTATCAAAGAAGAAAAGTACAACTTTGAAGAGGAGAAGAAAAACTAATACTCACGTCGTTGAAAACTAAGAAATTCGAGAAATTCCAACCGATGCAGCTGAAATAAATTTTGTATGGGGTATCCCTCACATACTGTCTCAGACTCTTCAACTGATCTCACGATCAAGTAGGTCAATTTTTGGGACCACTTTGAAATGATATGTAACGTCAAAAAGGACGGCGGCTTGCGGTATTGTGATTAGATATCAACCGAATCTAATTAGATATTTCAAGGCAGTGTAGAAATAATGAATTTCAGACGTAGTTCCTTGTTCCCACTCCCGCCCCTAAACCTACATACGTAGAATAAGTTTGGTGGAAAGAGATTGAAAACTACTTACAAACAGAGGCAGCAAAAAATGTGCGAAGAAAGCAGAAGACACGCAAAGGAGAACATTAGTTTTTGAGAGCGGCAAACTTGCTCACGATTTAATGTCACAACTCGAAAATGAAGGAATCACGTCTAAAAGATTCAGTTCACGCCAGTGCATGATTCAACTCTCTTCTATCCAACCCATGTGGATCTGAATCCTTGTAGTAAAGAGGATAATGAGCTCTTGTGGGATCTGGGATCTAGAATCTGAGGGTTGGAAACACACGTGGAAAGTACTGTCATTCGGGTCACTAGTTGATGCTGCCTGTGGCCAAATGAACATCCTCGACTTGAAAGTGTGGTTTGTACCATATCCATTTGAAGTCTAACTGAACTGTTGTTGTTAAAGTTGTAGAGATGCCGAGGCGCCAAAGCTCGAAGAGATCATGCATGTATCTAATACATGACGGTGATTGGAGAATGGCCCACATGTACACAAGGTTGAGGATCTAGTGACAAGTGGTTGTCGAGAATTCACCCTCTGATAACAGAACATCACGCAGGAGTCCATAACAGGTTAAGACGGTAGATATATGATGACGTTTTCTTAGCCATTTTTATCCTGCTTTGTGTCCTCTCTTGAGGTCTAGATTTTGTACCGGTGGATTTTGCCTCGTAACTGTAGAATCTTTCCAGTTGCTATAAGCTGCAAGCTTATTACGTGTAGGTTTCCCCTACTGCGCAGGGTTCAACTGTAAGTGGCAATGGACATGGTTCAGAGTTCCTGACCGCAAGTAAATTTTTTCGAGAGATATCAAGAACATGTCTTCGCAACAGTTCGTTCAGCTCCCTCCGTAGCTAACGAAGAATTTTAACTGCGAACTTCCTTATATGGTACTCAAAATACAGTTGTGGTTCCTCATGTTCAGGTTCCTGTATTCCTGAAGATTCAAGAATTGGATGCCACTTACGCAATGTTTACTGCTCCTAATTTATTTGATAGCTTTCTGCTTCATGGAAGATAGCGAGTTGTTCCCTTTAAATCATTTTGAGGGAAAAGCTCTCTTCCTGGATGAGATGATCATATTGTATATTTAAACTGGAATCTGCAAGTTTTCAGGGCCACTAAGACGGTGTAGTGGTTTCATCATGCTTTCAATTTGAGGTCCGATGGGTCCAATGCATCTTCCTCGTCTTCTCTTTACACCGTTGTACTTCGTTCCAGGTTCCTTGAACATGTTCTAATCGATTTGAGATCCATCTTTATTGCCATAACTTTCGGTGTAAAAGTATGTCCCGTAGTTCTCATCTCAACTAAGTCATGGAGGCATGCACTTGATTAGTGCGATTAGCAGGCTACACTATCATTGGTATGGATAGCGTTGGGGTCCTTATTGACCTGAGACGTTACTTATATCTACCCGTGAGCAAAGAGACAACTTTAGTGTCCTAGTGAGATATTGAATCTGGGTCTCTTTGAAACATGACACCTAAGCCTGTTAGTGTTGTCCAACATCATGCTCCATACAGTACTAGGCCATTGTCCCCTAATGAGGTAGCGTCCTTTCGTTGACACCGAACGAGCAGATTGAAACATGCAGTTTGCAACGTTGAGTGTTTTCCATCTTCACTTGACTTAATGTCTCTGTTGCGCAACGTTTCTTGGTGTAGATGACTTCAAATTTTGTGCTGGCAACATAATCATTTCACGATTTCAATAGTTGTCTGGATAGAATATAATTATACCTCTTTTGCCTGAGTTCTTCTTCCTGAAAAGTACACCCCAAACTGAATTATGCTGAGAACGATATGACAAAGAAAACTACACTCAGTGAATGCAACCTCTTTGAATGAAAGGTTCGCATTCTTCTACGGGCGGTAGGAAATTGAGAGAATATACTTCCGTAATAAAGAGCATTCAACTTCTACATATTACCATTGAAAGGAGAACGCAGTCCATCTATTACGTTTTTGTGGCAAAGAGATAAGGTGGCCATGATGGGGTGTCTTAAAATCTAGAGGTACTGAAGGCTAGATTAATTTATGTACTCATTCATATTTTGAAGATAGTGAGCATCATTCAGACATGCCGAGCAGGAAGACTATGTCCGCACACCGTGTATTCTTAGCATACATATCTTGTCACAGTCTAGAACTAAAAATTCTTGCATAATTAGCTATATAACAGCTAATTATACAAGAAAGGGAACTATTTGAAGTCATCTGCCTTAAAAAATCAACATGGATTCTTTTTTTATGTTTTTTGCGTGCTTTTTTCCTTGTGTTGAATTTGTTAACAGATGATACACACATTATAGAACATGCAGACCGTAATGTCCATGACTTCATCTATTTGAATACTTGAGTCTCATTATGTGATTTTGAAAGATGTGTCCAAATGTACGTTACATTTTTTATCTCTCACTTCCATGAAGATGAGTACACCAGCAAACACATTTTTTCTTATAAGGATGTCAGTGAAGTAATCTATCTCCACCTAGCTAGACATGACACAAATAATTGGCACAAATTGCAGAAACCCCTGAAGTTAGATGAGCCACTATCCACAAGCATGCATCCATATGGTAACAAGAGCGTAAGGTTACCTTAATAGTATACGGTATGGTTGAACATAAACCACTAAGAAAGAATATGAATATTTTTGAAATTTTAGATACATCTAGGCAAATTGCCAAAATCTAGTATAATCTGTTTGTATATAAAAAAAGTGATTGAATATTTAGAATTCTTTGTCAGTTTTTTCAAAGGCTTGCTTTTATGTAATAATTTAAAATTGCATAAACTTTTCAAGAGAAATATTAATTTTCAACCTTTAGAAATTTTCAAACTTATGATGATGTTTGCCAAAAGTCACTAGGAGTCAAACATGATTTTGACATGTTAAGTATACCTGAAGCAAAAACGACATCACAATTAGAATTGTACTTCTTGCGACTTTGATATTGAAACCTACTTGTGTGACGATGTTTTCTATATATATATATATATAACACAACGTACTTCTTTCATCACAATCTACATTTTGTTCTGAAGTTACTCCCCTATTCAACTAGAACAAAATTGAATTGTGACTTTGTCCTTCTATAAAACAAAGAGTGATAATATTACTGGAAGAGTCTGAATCGCCGGTCCCATAAAGCTCGAAGTTTGAGTAACTTTAAACAATGAGGAGGGACACCAAAAAGGGTGCAGCCACGGCATAACAGCAAGAACATGGAGAGATAATCTGGAGTTACGCATAATGGTGACCTGCATTCTTGTGAATTCCATGTGCTGCTTTCCTGACCTTTTAGCCCATAAAGGTGAGGGGAGTGGCAGGTGTACACATCCTCACAATCCATATCATTATGTCTAAATACAGATGGTACATTTTATCCTTCGATCCAATTGACAGTGTGGGTAGCGTTTACCGGCCTAGACACGTTAGTATGCTGTAGCGCATGACGTCGAATGCCTTGGGACTGGAGGGCGCCACTGCCCTTCGATGTTTGATTCACGCACGAATCAAATCACGCTTGTGAATGCAAGCCGAGTAAACTGACAGCCAGTCTGCAGGTGAGGTCCATCCCATTCAAACCTAAGTGAAATCCCGCTGATCCCGAAAAAGCAACGGAGTAAGAGATTTGAAAGTTGCCCAGTGTATGAGAGAATGGGAATACCTTGTCATGTCGTACATGGAAGAAAGAAAAGACGTCGTAGGTCTTGATCAGGCTACTGGTCGATGGGTCATTGAGCGCCGCATGTCCAATTGGTCTCTCGTTGTCGACTTTCTTGGGTTACCCTAACAAGATGCTTATTATAGCTGAGATGCAGACTGGACAGCCAGGAACTCGCGAACCGCAAAACGTTCAAGCACCACGGAAACTGACCGTAGAGCTTGCCATGCACGTGCCCGTTTGAAGATTTTGAATTTTTTACCTTGTGGATGTGGCGCGCGAGTTCCACTGGAGGTTGCCAGAACCAGAAACTTGCCACGGTCTCTGCAATCCAAGGGCGATATCATCCCATGCTTCCTTTAGGCCAGAATCAATTGGATATATGCTGCATGAAACCGACCACCAACGGACTGCCAGACACTAGTGAGGAGATTCGAGCTTCTCCTCGCCTTTGTCGTCTAGGAGTTAACTAAAGTCTTGGGACTGCGGAAGTTCAAGCTCAGCCAGAACCTCCGGCCAAGGCAACTCATTAAAGCTCTTGCTCTTTGGGCACGTGTGTGCGCCTACAAAGCGGGAGCCAGCTACAGAGGCGGATAATTTCATTCCATCTGTTTAGCCAATGTTTTCTCATTAGTTTAGAAAACAAGAAAATGAAGTTGGCAAATCTTGAGAAATGTGAGTTGACGGCTCGCCTCCTTCTCACGGATGAGTTACTGCGGATAGTTGAATTCTCGAGCACGGCAAAAACCATGTGTCATTTTACTATCCCCCAAAAAAACCTTCTAAACGTAAGTAAACAGTCAAATGAAAAGAAATGTAAATAACCGTCATTGTATGAAATCAGATGGGGAACATGGCGCTAATAGTATCAAAATGTTAAATGTAGCATTTTTTTACAATATATATCCTTATTAAAACGTAGTACAAAACTTTATTAACATTTTATTTTAAAAAGTATGATCATCATGCCAATTTATTTTCCGAATTCTTGCGCGGACTACGTCACGACATATTACGATATTTTTCCATAGTTGTATATTATTCCAAGCCTAAAATAAAAAAGCTTTGATTTTTTACAAACCCTTAGCAAGAAAATGTAAACTAGATATTTTACATACACCTTCTAGAAATCTAGAAGGTTGAGTGATCAGTTACTCTGAAAATTGATGTGTATGGGATAAATAATCCTCACGCGTGCTACATCAACATGATTTTTCCAAACCAAGCATGGATATGTCGTGGTCCGAATTGATTGTAAGTTATGCCATACGTTTGCTCTACATGATATCACTACCCTTCTAAACAAACAATAAATCCATGCTGACATTATACAAACTATACTATTTACAGGAAATAAACTATGCGCATAAAGAAATATTGATGTATGCATCAAGTCAAGATCAAACTTCATTGTTGTAAAGAGAGTAGTTGAAGTGAGTCAAAAAGCTATTATGTCAAGCTAATATACAAAAGCAGTTCCTTGGATGCAGCTATATAGAGTGTATATCAACCCTAGTAGGTCATGAATGATCGGATCCACAAAGAGTAGATGTAAAATAATTCAAAATTGACATCAATTCTCGAGTGTTATAAGTATGGTTACCAAGTATGTGGTGGTTGATAGCGGCAAACAACTGTTCTCGTGAAGAGGGTTCAAGAAATGTGACTTAGTGAATAATGTCAAACTTAACCTCACTCACTTAAACCTCAATTCTGACATCAGACGAAATATCTATTTAATAAAATCACACTATCAATAATGACGTAGGATTTTACTTCTCAAAATTAGTTTCAGTTTCTTAGGTAGACTTTAAACAGAATTCCTTGGAACTGGGAAGAAAAGATCTCAAAATCAAAAACTGAAGGGTCTAGAAATAATTCTGGATGTGAAGAACAACGCCAGAGTTGCCTTGGGGTTAGAAACTGTAAATAATTTGAAAATCATGTTTCGAAACAAAGTAAGAAATGCAAAGATCAACGAACATATGTCTTCTTTACCTTTCAGAACATGAATTGCATTCCGAAACCGTCTCTTTGAGAATAGGCCAGCCACACACCACCAGCCATGGTTGCGTTGAACTATATGTTCACGGCTCACGTAAAGTCGTTAGTACATCACCATCTGATACTTTGAGCACTCTCTCAGAGGGTTTTCCTTATGACTACTATTGTTTATTCATATTCTATATACATTTCTCAAGGCCGGTTGTACTGTCCTGGAAAGCGACTCCATGTCAAGTTTTATTTCTGAAGGCATGCATCAAGTAACAACTATCGAACAGAAGAAAATGTTTCGTCTGGTTGATTAAACGGTTAAGTTTGTGGTGCAAGCGAAGGACTCACAAGCAGACTGATTTCAACCACATGGCAATGGATGTGAGAGAAGGAAGTACTAAAGCAACATAACCGTCGTGTGTTCGCCTTTCAATTTCCACTTCTTGCTTGGTAGTCAAAGTTGAGAACAAGCTAGCAGCAGCACAGCATTGACTTCGAGCGTGGAGTCGTTGAGTGTACAAGGAAAAGAAGCCAACTGTTATCGGGATAACGACGGAATATGATGGGTGACTCGGGATGAAGATCCCAACGACAATAACACATGTCAATATCACAATCTTGCGAAATTCACTGTCGAAAATGACTCGAATGGACAACTACTGTACCTCAAAGAGCAGATCCTTTGACAGCACTACAGCTGAGTACATAAAAATGTGATGTGGATATGGTGACTTGACACCCTACTGATCCGTCTTGTCCCACAAGCTATGGATCTTGTAAATATCACACATATGGTGTGATATACTTAGTTGATATGGTTGATAAACTTCAGCTCAACTTCTAGCGGTGTTTTTGGCAACCGTTTTTCGTTAGAGAAAATATATTGGAGGATGAATGTAGGTACGCGAGGTTTAGAACAAATGTGGGATACTCCCCGTCATTTGGGAATGGGAGAAAAATCCATTTTGCTACGTGGAATATTGGTAAGTTATAAGAAATAAATATGACAGCCAAGAATGGATCATTTACGTTTTGGTTGTAAGTAATACGGCGATGTATGTGGCAATAATGCTAGGAGGTTCACGAAAGCTTATTATGGGTTACAATAACCTCTATTGAGAAAATTTCAAAGGTCAATGAATCCACGGGCAAAGTTTAACTCACGTAAAGTTTACGGCAATGTTCCATATTCTCGCTGTCCACAACTTTTCGAAAGCAAATGGCCATAGCTGGAAAGAAACACGTTTTTTTGATTATCTATCAATTATCAGTCGAGTATAGAAAGATAAACATTATTGAGCACTATAGAGGTTGGTCTCGGCACCCATTCGTTTCATGTGAATTTTGTGTGTGTGGGGGCAGCAAGGCATGCCGAGGTCTGGACAGAAATAATAATTTCATGGATTCACGACTGTCGCCCTTCTGATCGTCGGGCACCCTTTCAAGTCCTTTCATGTTTCACAAGGGAAGACAATAATCCAAAACGACTCCTAAGTTCGTGGAAGAAGGACTATGGCGCATCTGCTACGACAACTGGATCGCCATCAACGTGGTTTGTTACACCCGGTCGGTGCACATAACTATATTTGGTAGAGCAGAAAGCGAGAGCGTCATCATCCCAAAAAATAAAAGAGGCCTCTAAAATAAAAAACCGGCCTATGAGGTCCACGGCCGCTTCCGTAGACAGCATGGACATCCCAGCAACCACTTCGATTCCTGGCAGAAACAAAAGAAGGGCAATCAGGGAGGGAAAAACTAAACGCCTCGGCCCGGAAGGAAAGTAAAGAAAAGCCGGAAATAAGTCCGGGACTGTACCAAGGAATGAGGGAAAACTGCTCAAACCGCGCGAGGTCGGTCCATCAGGCCTTTAACGGTTGTGACACTATTATACAACAGTACAGACTTGCTTCGTGAGGGGAGAATCCAGACAAGATTCGTCCGCTGTAACAAAACGAGCTCCTGCTCGGGGAGGGTAATGCAGAACTCAGTAGTGCGGGAGGGGACCCATGAACGCATAGACCGGCGAAGTTCAGTAGCTGAGAAGGGCAAAGAAGGTGCGGGGAAAGAGCGATCGGGATTCAGGACTCGTCCGTGGGCAATTGCAGGCCGGGTCGAGTCAGTAAAAAACAGAACCGAAGAGACCAACTGGGGCCTTGGGTTCCTTGGTGTTGGGATAAATTCACCGCGAGGGAGGTAGTGTTCGAGGAAAGTGCTAGCGCTCATGCCTGCTGCTCCTGACCGCGAGGGAATGAGGAAAGCCAGCGAGCCAGCCATCGTTGTCATTGTCGTGGGAAGCACCAACTGACTCTCATGTCCGGAATGGAAATCGGAGGCGCTGGAGGCGAGAATCGAATTAGTGTTGCCTGTGTCGGAGTGGGGTGCCAGGATTTGTCCGTCAAGTTCAGCTTGGAGGTCAGCTTCTCGCCGGATGAAATACGCCTGGGAAGTTTTGCGACCATCGTTTGAGAGTGGCAGTCTAGCCTTAAATATACATGCGGTGATACTTGTTGCGGAGGAATCGGAACGGAGCGGGATTGGACTGGCGAGGTTTCTAGAGGAAGAGAGAGCGGACACGAGGCAGGTCTTGTCTCGTTGGATTTGCAATTTTGATTCGAGCAGTATTCGCGAGTGGCTTGTTGTATGCACTGTGGGAGTATCAGGCTAGTCGGTGGCGATTGGAGTTCGAAGCGGAGGGTGGAAATCTTTGATCGAATCGAGAGATCGTCGAAGTATGGGAGAGATTGAAGAGGCCTTCAAACTTTTTATGGACTGGTGAGCAGCCTTTCTTCACCATGATCATTAGACGGCATCTGACTCACGCCGTTGAAACTTGTTGATGACAGCCGATTTTGTCATCTCCACGACGCGGGTTGAGTGACTGCTTTTGGATGTGTGTGCGTGGGTCTGCAGGGTGGTCTATTTAAACGGCTTGCACAAGCTCGGAGGACAGATTCTTGTGGAGTTTGCGAAGAAGCTCGGTGAGTATTTCGGACAGGTTACGAGTGGAAATGACGACGATCTTCAATTTTTTGATACGCTCTTCAACTTCGCCAGTCAATTTCATTCTTCACTTCTTTGATAAGCTCAATTTCTCCTTCGAGACTCCGTGTAGCATGGGTTGAATTTGTGGCCTTATTTAGGAGCGTATCGAAGAGCCAAAAAGGAAGAAGCAGAATATTTTGCGCGAGTGGCGGCTGCGGCTCATAGTCAACGACTGTCACTTTATCTCGGGCCCGGTAGCTGGCTCGAGGACACTTCAAAAGCTCTTGCTGCCAAGCGTAAGCTTCTGCCTCTACAAGCTTTGTTCAAGATGCCAGTTTCTTTGCTGGGTATCTGGCGGAATGTGTGTTGAAGTGGAAAATATAATCAGAGGCGGTTGAATGAACTGGACTCTGATGGTGATATTTTTTTTCAACGTTGTGTGCAGTGGACTCAGCGACCACGAGATTATGGATTTATCTGAATGAAGGTACGTGTATGCCTATAGAAGACGTAGGCAGCAAATTCGACTTTGTCATAAGTTTCAAACGAGGCTTCAAGTCTCAAATGGGGCTCCCCTATCGCATGTGCAACTCAATTGCATGTTGATCCAACCATGTTCACTTCAAATATATTCATATCGCTAGCTTTTTGGTTTTTATGACCCTGCCGTATAACGCATCGGTTGCTTGTATCTGTTTCCAGCTCATGAATGCTTGAATCATCTGGCCGGAATTTCGAAGGATGCGATTGAAGAACACTCGGAACACGAGGCCACTAGGGAACTCGAGAGATTCAACCTCTCGACTGGCGATGAAGTCTGCGCGGGTGCTGATAGAACGGTATGAACAAATAAAGCCAAATACAAATAAAGCCTGATTGTGACTGATGTTCACAATCTGAAAGCCTTTTGTTCTGTTCTGAACGCTTTCGTTTGGCTATGCAGACGCGGAATGGAAAATTTCAAGGTCGACTGCCTTTTTCTGAATATTCTTCCATGATGGCCCTCATCTACAAAATGCTCGAGGAGGACTACAACATGCAGGTATAGGACAGTACAGTCATGACAATCTTGCAAGATATTTATCAGTCCATTGCCTTTAACCCAGATGATCCTGCCTGATTTTTACGTGTGAGGCTTTGATCGACATCTGTAGCGCAACCTGAAAGGACTGTGATCTGTGGTGAATGTGGCAGCGGAAGATCGTTGAGGCCTTGGGACTGGACACACCCGCCGACGCTCTTACAGAATATTGCACAATGTGGCTAGAACAACCGTGTATAAAGTGGTACGTGATCGACAGAGCATTGAGCTGGACTCAGATCCCCGAGGAATCCATGAGTTAAAATCTGAAGATGCAGCCCTGTAATCGAAATCCGGAATTTCAAATCGACTGAGAACTGGGGCATGAATAGTTAGTTCTACATGAAGTGCAGATAGTGATCATTATTGGAAGTATTTGTACCATCACAACTGATGGTGAGTGATTTTGGAGGCTTACTTCTTCCTGGTTTCAGTTGCATGGAACACTTGTACAGCGGAGGAAAAAGTCACACCTGAGGCATTTGAAGTGACAAATATGAGCAGCAGTAGTTACAATTAGGCAGTTAATCGAGAAGGGACACCTTTCAAGTAGTCTCTGTAGCAGTAGAGTGGATGGTCAGTTAATGGGATCTTTTAGTGGGATAGATTCCTCTTCGCCGCGGGAATTGAGGAACATTTCTTCGTTCATGTCCCCTCTCGTCTCAAGAGATATGTCAGAAAATGGAAAACTTGCACTACAATTTTTTCTAATACAAAGGCCGTAATCATAGCGTTCCAGTTCAGGAAAAAATTCTCAACATCTGATTGTCCGTTAGCGCGGAATGTTCCCAACTCTCGAGATGGAATTCACCGCTTGCAAAATGGTACATGTGGTGGTGGAAATGGTGAAGCAACATGTATACATCGGCTGAAGCATATGGTTCAGCGAGTTGTTTACATTGCGCACCAGCTCCATGTGGGAGCCATCACGTCAGGCGATGATCCTTCTTGTATCTAAACTATGTAGTTCGAATATCTTTGGTGCAGCAGTAGTTTCCCATTAAGATGCTATTGGTCCCTAGCCCCTAGTTACCCTTTTGGTTTAATCCTCTTCCGACTCAATGGAGTCTTTTCTATCCTTTTCGTTCTTTTACTGTGTCCTCTCCTCTGGTCCAGCACCACAAATCTGGACGTCATCGAAACAATCTTCGAAATTACCAAAACCGCGACCAGTCTCCTTGCACGAGAGAAGCTACGCAGAACGAGTTTGACCTATGACTACGTCCCAGCCACACAAAAATCCGTTCCCACACTTCCCCGAATTTCCCATCAGCCATGCGCCTTTCCAACCGGAGCGTTACCGAACAGACATATGCTTAGCCTGACTCTTCCATTTCCATTGCGGCCCATGTCATTGTAGTTGTGACCAACAGAAATGCGCTACGGACCGCGGCAGCTTGCTTGGTTGGAAACGGGAGAATTTGGTCGTAGCGTCAGGCGAGCAAACATCCCTCGATCGAAACTCGAGAGAGGACTATTACTTGGCAGGAACTCAAGGCAAAGGGAGATCCGGACTTCGGACTCCGCACCCCTGCGAAGAGAAAACCTACTCCGTGAGAACAGGTCAGGGTCAATTAAGGATCCAGGAAGTTACAGGATAAGGTTTACGCGTATAAAGGACTGCCGGGTATGAGGGAACGGAACGCCTTGATGGCATGGCATTAATTTCACTTTCTGCTCACCACGCGCCTCTCGCCAGCAGCCCGCCAGCCCGCTCTGGCGCCCTCTCTAGCCGGTCAGCCACGACCTACCGAGCGGGGCCGAGGCCGTGACCGGCAGCTAAAAGCGGACCGGCCTCCTGCAGATCGCCTCACCTGATGCGTGACTCCCGGACGGAGAAGAAATGGTACATCTTATGCCTTATCCAAAGTTCGCGCGCCAAGTACTGCCGGCGCTTACGTGATGCTTGGCGTAGGATTCAACATTGCCGTCTTTGAAACGGACGACGGATTTGGCTATATCGGTGGTAGTAGCTGTTGTACTCTACTCCCCACTTGCCGGCGCCGTATATCGTGTGGAAAGTCGGGAAAATACTGCGTCGTCTTCGATGTTCACGGCTTGCGGTCTTTACTGCGATCGTCGGTCTTTCGGCCCTAGATCGAACTCACATTAATCAGAAATGTCGGCGAAATTTCAGCAGATGCTGGAGGCAGCGGGAGAAACCCCTGATAGTGGGAGTGGCCGGCACCTGCCAAACGCGCGATCGCACATCGCATCGTGGTGCCAAGAACGTAGATAGTTGGAAACTGGCGGCGATTTGTTTCCGTTCGTGGGCGCTGCCGCTTCTCCGAAATTAGAGGGATCCACATATTCGTTTATTCGTGAGGGCTAATGGACTGGAGATGTGGCTAAAGTGAAGTAGAAGCCGAGGGCGAGTCCAGCGCATGGAAATGATTCCATGAGTGTCGTGACTGTAACAAGATGATCGGATATTGGTGCCTAGCCCATCTTACCCCCTTTGTATTCATCCTCGTACGACTTCATCCGTTTTGCTATATTTACTTGGTTCACATGTTCACGATCACAGACATTCCTGTACACTTGTCGCGATCGCGGCCAGTAGGAATTCGCCAAGTGCGGACAAAGACGTGCGGAACCTGCTAACTCAGATCCCGACCGCGAGTTACCGACTTCTTGCCGCAAGCCGCGCAGCTGCAGGAATCGTCCGTGTAGCGTCAATTCATCGTCTGTTACCGAGGCACGAGAACTTCCTTGTCAGACAAGCAACGGTAAATGCGAGGATGATGGGGGCCATGGGGCCATGTACGAGGCGTACTCCTCCATGACGTGGCGGATAATCGAGAAGACCAACAGCTGCGATCCATACAACTTGCTTGCATTAACTCCTCCGTCTCCGACTCCACTTCAGCGTCGCGCTCTGGACCAGCGTCGTGCTGGCGTCTCCAGTTCTCCAGCGATCGATGCCAGTGGATAGTCGGGCCGCCTCCCCTGCGGCCCCTCGCAGACCTTAGCGACACAATCTTCCATCAGTGGCAATGTCAAAAGGTCCTGCGTACGAATTCGCAACTCGCTCAGTACCCTTTGTGTTGCCGAGTACATTTTCAACGTAGGGCCAGAGTCTTAAACACTAGATTGTCGAAGCGATGGTCCTTACGAGGTTCGCATATTTATTAAATTGAGTTCGGAATAACGTGTTTATTACAGATTTCAGCGATTCTTCGAACAGTCTTTACAGATATCTGCTGACACTGTTCTAATCCAGAGTCTTGTATGCATACGAAGCAGGATTGTTGTAATTTATTGTGAATAAACTCGCTTCCAGGTTGCTACTTTTAGGCAAAGTAAGATAATAAGTAAGTTTGTCGCGCGAGTCCCAAACTTAAGCCTCTCGATCTATATTTGCATCTGGATCTAGTAACATGTTCTGAGTGAAAAATTCGGAATATATAAGATTATTTTGCAAAGCTAAAAATTACAAATCGTAAGTTTAGGCTGAATTTAATCTTCGTGAAGGACCTGCAGGGGACCCGCGAGGTGGATCAATGCTAGTTGTATTAATCTCTGCGTAGTTTTGCCCAGGATTTTAAATGCCCAGCCGAGCTGCGTATGGTTTACTGGATTGCGAAATGGTCTCGTCACTAACAGGTAAGCGCAGCTGACTCTCTCATGAGTCGGGAGAGAAAACGGAGTGCGGGACGGTCGTGGGGTCGGGACAAGGAGAGGCGCAAAAGTCGCAGACGCACAGGCGTCTGAAATGTGCGAGTTCCACGTGGCGTCGCGATCTACCGAGTCATCGAACCTGACCCGTGATTGAAGATCTCGGGCGCATGATCCTCGCATGTCCAGTTACTGCAGGCAGCTACAGGCTTGATGTCGAAGCAAAACCCAAGCACCATCCCATAATGCCCTACGACAACGACCGTTTGCAACCAGTCCTCCCACCGGCGGCTCAGGGGTTGAATTGACTCGAATCGCTCACCCTGACGGTCTGACCCGCTCCACTCCTGTCATCATTTGCAAATATCTACATCTATATCCAGCCAGTAGGTAGGGAGTAGACATAGACCGTTCTTCTACAACCGGAGCCCCACTTTAGGACCGCTCTCGAGAATACAGAGCACTGTATAGGTACAAGGTCCTGGGTGCTAAACTATGCCACCTGGATAGCGGCAGCATGCACTGGATGTTTTGCTTCACATCCACAGGGCAGGGCCGGACCGGTCGTATGCGTGTCTGGATCACGTCTGGACTGGTCAAAAGATGTGAATCTGGTTCGGTGAAAACTGGGAACCGGTTTATGAGGGTGACTTTTCTCCTCGTTTTCTCCACGCACTTTATCCTCGTCATGGTGATGGTCCATGTGCGTGACACGTGTAACATGACGGTGTCCCGGAGCTGGCCTGGCCTGGGGCCATGGTCGGCCAACTTTAACTTTAATTCGGCTGCCTTGCGATGAGCGAGGTTGATGTAGCCTTGCTGCGTGCGTGACCTAGCGTCTGACTCACATTTCCTATGTAAATTACTTCCACATCAGCCCTTTTCTCGTCTGTCCCATGGTTCACAAGTTTGTTGAGGAGGTTTTGTTGTTGCTCTTGCTTTGGAGGTTTGCTATGGGTCTCCTTCAAGGTTTGCGTGATGAGAGGTCATTGGCCGATGTGTTTTCTACTTTCTCTTTTTCCAAACATTTGTGAGAATAGAAAGCTTTTTCTCCAAAAATTTGAAATATTGACAAACCAAGAAGAACTGACTGCAGTGTAAGCGAAATTATATCTTTGTTTTAGTTTGATTCTTATCTCTCTTTTGGGATTTATAATTTTTTAGCCCATGAGTGTGATCTGTATGTGGAGATGGAAGTCGTGTAATGACTCAGAGGAGCAGAAACTTGCCAGTAATTATTTCTGGAATTGTTACTTTCCATCACATCATCGCACATTGCATCTGACTTGTTACACGTCTTCTCAACGAGTCATGAAAGCAATCAAATCTTTGGACTTGTGATGAATCAGGTTGGTGATACAAGACTTGTCACAGCGATTCACAGGTCGTTAATCTCTTCCTCTATGATCCCCATCCAGCAACGATACAATTACAGCGTTCCACGGTGCATTCTTCAAACTGCTTCTTTGGAACGCAAAACTCTCCAGAGTAATGAGTATAATGACATGATCTGAGGAACTAATCACGATACTGTATTTGTCTCCGTACTCAACAATTTTTTTGGTGACAATGCCTATGAGAACCGATTTCACTCATACATTCTACTCCCCGCAGTTCGCTGCTTGAAGCATCCAGCGACATGTGTTGGTTCCTACTGTGAGAACATCAAAGCTTGGACATAGCATCAAAACATTTTCTCTCGAATGTATACTAAGCTTAACGATGCCTGGCTGTCCCATAGGCTGTAGTTGTTATGCATGCCTTACAAATGCATGCTGAAAAAGCTCACTCAAATCCAGGTTTCCGGGTAAGTTTTACTCAAGACCGTATTTTGAATATAGTTTCTTAGAACTAACACAAGGTAGCGGCTGGTTTTGCATGCCTTATATGCGAGTGATTTCAAAATTTCCATTGGGCTCACCAATGACACATCAAATGCGAGAATATGGACTTGAATGGTTCTCACTTAGACTAGGGTGGTTTTGGGTCAGTTTTCCGTTTGAACGGCAGACTAGGAGGTGCAAACTTAGTGCAGTCTCCTTGAGACAAATTGCACAGTAGCACATGTATATGTAAACAAAAACTATTATATACTAAAAAAAAAGTGAAGAGAAATTCAGTACTCTGAACTTCAAGGAGACATTGTGTGTAACACATCTGATAGTAAGGCTCTACCATAATACAATCTATTTGTGGGGGTAAAAATGCAATGTTTTTCTCTTGGTGCTCATCAACAATTTGCCATACATTTGAGAAAATTTTATTCCTTGCGAGTGCTGAAAGTCGAGGCTTGATGACTGAAAGAATTAAAGTACAAATGCAAGGGAAAGGTGGAGAAACCCCTGGCTGAAAAGGGGAAGATAGGAATGGTGCAACGTAGCATATGGAGTGTTCTAGACGCACGCAGACACTAGATGATTTTTCTGGATGCTCTGTTAGACCGAAATAGAAGAAAAGGAAGCAGACCGAGAACTGGGGCAGGCTCAGTTGGTTTATATTTGTATATATAACATGAGCGTTTTCTTTTATCCCGACTAGTCCTTTCGCTGTGTCTGATAGCTGGCTATATTGCGTTCTCCCAGGGTCAGATTGAGAAGCTGGTGACTGGAATCTTCAATATTGATCCTGTGTACAAAGTATGTAGTGCTAAAGGGAACGTAGGCCTGGTAAGAATTCCTAACAATCTGGAGGGCCAACAAGAAAACTCGAATGAAACCAGTTGACGAGGTCGAGTTGATCCATAAGAGCTCCGATCTGTTCCAGATATACATTGCATGTAGGTGGTCTGATATCCCCCTTGACCCACCGTTTTGCATGAAGGCTCAACACAGACTCGTACATGATCAATGGACACTGGACTTGGACTTATGGCCGGCTTGAATCAGGGCCACATCAGTTGGTGACCAAATGTTGCGTGTACTTGCAGTTAAAATAATCGCCTCCAGTTTCACCACTGCCACGCTTGGAAGCTTGAATGTAGCTCCAATGATCGCCAGAATATATACAGTAGTTCAATGTTCGGTTATCCAGGCCTAGCCTAAAGCCTACAAGGCGCACAAATCTGATAACCTCGTTGTCAAACGGTAAAGAAGGCCAAATGCCAGTCTGAAGGAGTGGGCGCTTGACCTGTGTGGTCTTCGACTCTTCGTCCTCGCACGCTTCTTCTGTGATGGTTTGGTGCCTAGTGGATTACCAGAGCAGTGGCTCCATAGCCTGGGCCAGCTACGAAATCTTTGCATGTAAAAGTGAATCATCGATCTAGTTTTGCACAACTCTTCGTAAGTGGCTGATTCACTCTGTAGGCGAGGACGTAGCCCCTTCTTTCGGCCAATCGGTTGCTTGGCTGCCATTCCAGCGAAAAAATGATTGTGCGTCTAGCATCCGGAGGTCAGACATACATTCACTCTTAGCTTAGTCTTACTCTCCATGAGTCACCCTCCCGGTGACCATCCTTGTCAAAAGGTGAGATTAAGGGGTCAGGATCTCCTGGATGTCTTGTGCCCACCAGTTTCGATCCTCATCCAGCCACAGAACTGGTGAGATTTGTCTGACTTTCCACCGGATCTACGAATGATCTGGGGGCAACAACTTTCTCAAGATCCATGTCAACTGAGGCTTGCACATACGAATTTGATTACTGAATTTTTCAGAGCCTGAAGGGAAATACACAGAAGGGACAGCGTTAAGCCACGGTACCCTCCTACTCGTCCGAACAAATTTCACTTCAAAGTTTTGAACATGTTCTTTCATATTCCTCACAAGAGCTTGATGAATAGGCTCAGCGCAAATCCAGCTACACATACAAACACAAAGTGCGCTGCTGCTAGTGGTGAGCTTGTTCTCCTTACCCGTGCTCCTTACGGAATCTAAGTTAAGGGCTGTAGAGGGCATGCTGCTGTAGGCTTAGTGGCTTCGTAGCCAATCCAGCTAAGCGACGATCTGGTTTTGGGTTAAAAAACCTTGGTTCACGTGGTTACATGAGAGGAGCTTGTGCATGACACTTTAGAACCCGTACAAGTGCTTTTATCGAATGCATGTGGTGTACCTGGCACCCCATTTGCCCGAGCCAGTCAAACTCGTGCGACAGAATATTCAAAGACAAGACATTTAGGAGACACTTGAGATGGTCCATTTCGTTGAGAGGATTTGTTCAACGTGCGACAATCACAAGAGCCTGCTTTTGTAAACTCCCAGCATTTGCAGACAGGAGAATTACCATGAAAGAGGTTTTTGAGATTGCCAGATAAAAAAAGATTTCCCTATGTTTTGTTAATAAAAAGATGTGCCTACCTTATTTTGATGTTTGTTTCAAAAGAGGGAGCCAGAGAGAGAGAGAGAGAGAGAGAGAGATTGATGGGCTTTCTTACTCCATGCAGAATCTTAAGCAAACGTTTGCCTCTTCACACTTAAAAGATTCAGAAACAGTTGTAGATAGTTCACCGTCATCATATTTGCATAGCAATAGATTCGGATTCAGACCCCGAGATACGTAACATGGTCATCAGCGCGAAATGAGTGAACCCATGACACGGAAATAGGGTCAGAGAGTGTTTCTAGCACCTTTTCTATTTATCCTTGTGATGATGGCATTATCATGTGGAAATGTTCTTTACAATAAGGCCTGCAGAAAATATTCCTCCAGCTTGTATTTCACCCCAACTTACTCCGACCCCTGTTGAGCTTGTTCGCTAGGACCGGGTCAGATTACTCTCCGAGTTCTTCTGCCCCAGTTTCCCAAAAAGCAGCAGCAGCAACATCCACAAAGCTGAACATTCTAGAAAAGCATTTCAACAGTAATTTCACAATGATACCAGGCCTGACTTTCACTAACTCTTATCACTCCCTGTCCAAAATCATATGCAATGGAATCCTCGGCCTCAGTACTGAAGACAGTGCTATTTTCAGAAGAAGAACAGTTAGCAGACCTGGGACCAGCCTTCTTCTCACCTCAAGTCTCAAGTGACTTTTCAAACCCAAGCCAACTCTACTTCGTCTTGACGTAGGTTGACATATTTGACATTCTATGGTTTAGTCTGTGTGCCCAGTAAGACCACTACTTTCTAAACCCAGTCAACTTTCTTATGCAGAAGCAAGGTGAGATATTTCAGTTCCATTAATTTCCAGTGTCTGGCCCCAAAACCATTGCTTTCTAGAACTTCATTTGAAAGTAGGTTGAAACGTTTGCATTGATTTCTTCTCGCTGCCCCCACACATTGGATGTGAACGAAGTTGGTAGCATGGGGCAATGACACTGTTATCACTAGATTTCAAGCACGGGAGTACAACAAAAAGATTGAAGAAACTGTGACCAGTTTAAAAGAAACACCAGGCACTGTCTGGCTGGAGAGGAATATCGACTAACAATACGCAAGATGAAAGATATTGTAATGAGTTTGATATCAGAATATTGTTCAGTCAGATTGTCAGCAGATTCAGACTCAGAACAGTGACTCGCTGCAATCAGGTCTTAAAAAATCCAAGAGATCTCTCGAAAGAGGGAAAAAGAAGAAGAAGACCCAAGTCAATGTTGATGAAGTGATAGGCATTTGATTGGATGGGCAGACAACCAAATACGAGATGGTTTCCCTGTGGAACTGTTTGCTCACTTATGTCACTGATATTTTGAAACCCAGCTTAGTACTTTTCTACAACTCTGTACTACAAAAATCCCAACTACTGACATGTACATAATTGAGACACAGCTGATGGAAGGATGATGTGAACGAAGCTTTTGACGCTTTTAAATCGTGCTTGATCGTCAGTTTTGTGAGACCGGCGCGTCCGACTCGATCCAAGTGCAGATATGATATCAGTACGTGTGAATTCTAGCCCTCGGTCGTGCACTATAATGCTCGAGTGAAAACATCTCCGCATACGCAGTCCGATTCGCAAAGCGTGGGTGCCTCCTTTTGTTTCCTCTGCCGGACTGCAACTGCAAAACTGCAGAATTTTGAACTCTGTGTCTGCCATGCTTCAACAAATGAAAGGGCTAGCCTCTCCCGCACCTTGTCTATGAGTGCTCAGCTCCATCACCTCCCAGTACACCGAAGCGGGAGATTTTTCAGTTTCATTCTTCGGGTTCCGTATCCTGGAAAGGCTCTGTCGTATGCTTGACGAGTGAAATCCGAGCCATGCAGTAAAGTCTGCCTGCCTCGAGTGAGGAAGCAGTCGTCCGCCTGTAAGCTGCCAGACATCTCGAGGTGGGCCTCCAAGATCTGCAGCGATCTGTACCTAAATATGAAGCCTCATTGGTCCAACGTTGCCCGGAAGTAGTCGGAAGGACGTTTGAGAAATGACTGCGCTGGGAGCGAAGGTACAGACCATTCCTGGACTCTTTCAGTGCAATGGAAGACGACAGACTTATGAGTCCATGTAACTAGTGATACTATCCCACGGAAGCAGTTCATGGCAAATGGACAGGGTTAGGTGAGTGGAGATAGGTGTTTCCCTGCGATTTGTTTGCTGAGCCCGAGTGCCCTCGCCAAGAAGCGAACCTCTTTTGTGTATGACGAGAGGAAGACAAAAGGGCTGGGGACCAGCAGAGGAGCTGTTTCGACAGCTAAGAAAGTCAACCGCTGCCTCCGAAGACACGGTAAGGGGCAATCCTTCGAATAAGAGATGACCACGGGAGTATTCACTGAGGGAGAATTGTCAGACGGGACCTTGATGATTGTATCCAAACATCTCATTGCTATGCTACAACGACAATAACAACAACATCAATAGATTCACGCATGCATGCAGATCGAGGCGGAAGATGCGTGCTTTTCAGGCCTTGCTGTTTTACCCACTGAGATTCGTGCCAGTCCACGTCATGATGAAGTGACAGTGGAGTTTTCAAGTTTGGGACAGATGGGACAGCCGTGGTGGCTGTCCCGATGACCTTGGACGAGATTGTTTCGATTTGCATACTATTCCTTCCCAAATTGTAACTACTGGATCGTTGTTTAACGCAGTGCAGGTTTGATTCGGTTTTTATCAATCACTCATCTGAAGAATGTTGGCAAGGCAGCCACATCAAGAACATTAGGCTTGAGATGAGCGTTTCTGGCACGGCACTGTTCTTTGCAACCGAATTCATCTGTTAGACATAGAGGGTTCTCATGGCCACAGCAGCTGAGTACATCCATGGCTCCCTCTTGGCAACCATTGGTGCTGCTCAGAACCATACTAAGGTTCCGGTCAATAGGTCTACGAAAATGCTCTCGGGAGAACTACTCTGACACATGTCATACGCCAGCATGTATTAAAGAGCAGCCCAAGAGACACATACTGCACCATACTCTACAATCTTAGGCCGCTGGATCATCACTCCAGTACAATCAGGAAAGAAATGCTAGTCATGTTCTCTCTTCCGATCTTCTCTTTAGCACTCGAATGTACGGGCGTTTCCATCCCGTCTGTGGCACTTGCAGATTCAACTTTCAGATGACGTTTGACTCTCGAATGTGAGACCTTTGCTGTCCAAGCTACCGGGCTTATACGAAATAGTCACTGCTGTCCATGCCTTCTCAGTTTAGAGTTCGACTGTACTGAGGTTGCTCCCACAGCATGTTATCTTTTCTCACAATGAGAAGATTGTGGAACGTTGAACTGCAACTCGACGGAAGTTAATTTGCACTATTAGTCTTCCGATTTAGAAACATCCAACGAGGTCGTATGTTCTAAATCGCTGATCCAGCTTTACAACTCTAGTATGTTTCACCTTGGGAGGTTTAGTCACCTGTGTTCCGGTGGTAAATTCTTAATTTTCTAGAGAATGAACACAAGGTTGCCAGTTCATTTTCTGAATGTTGAGGTAGTCTCAACGTAATCAAGCTCAAAGAGCGTCGTTTCCAGAAACATCCATCTGCACTGCTTGTATCCACACGAGGGCAGTCATCGTTGCAGTTTTGAGAGTTCTGTGCACATATTACGCACGTGAGTGGGAACCCCAACTACAGTCCACAGTAGCTGTCTTCTGTGTGCACATGACGAATGCACATCAACTACTTCATCTCAAGTCATTGTCTTCCGTACCTTAGCCCTTGAGGGCATTTATGGACCTTCCTCCCCACTATGGTTTATGTTGATCATGAACCGAAGATCTAGACTACCTTTCATTTTCATCACCTGATGTTGTATTTGCATGCAGCTCTACGTTATGTTCTTGCTGAAGTTTCCTTGATTTACAATAATAAAACGAATCCCTCCAAATTTCCTGTCGATTTCTGATTTGTGTCAATTCAACACCCTGCACTGCCTCTCACCATACACAAAGTGTCTTACCGTCAACTGCCACTGCCACTGTTTGAACCCCACATCTGGTATTTGCGAGGTTGCTAGGGGATCGGGTATGCTCGGAGTGCTGGTCTAGACAGTTGACATTGTTGTGGCTTCTGTCTCAACATCTTCATGTTTTACACATGGACGTTCAGAGAAATACTTAGTACTTCGTCTGTCACAATGTATAGGCCCTTCTATTGGTTGCAACAGGACTGGGTGCGTACAGATCTTTTCACAAACAAAAAAGAAATCTGAAGTTCTACCCGTCTTGGTAAATTTAATACGTATTCGTAAAGCGAGAGAAGCAATTCTTGTCTTCCTCTTAGCATGTAATAACAAAAAGTACCTCTTCATACTTAATTATAACACCCTCGATGACAATAATGGGTCCAGCAAATTCAGAATATACCTCACCTAATCCAGTGAGAGCGTTTCAACTATTCACCCTCGATGACAATAATGGGTCCAGCAAATTCAGAATATACCTCACCTAATCCAGTGAGAGCGTTTCAACTATTGACCTTCGTCCTCGTTGAATGAAACTTGACAAAGTTCACATCTACGAGCATACTGAGAAAATGTAGGCTGCCATAACTAAACACGACTGATTTACGTTTAAGAACTGCAAGTACCAAGTCTTGCATATTATACAGATTGTTCTCTTGTCATTATTAACGTACATACCTAGGAAACAAGCTTCCTTACTTTCTCCTCCACATGAGCTTCGTGGTCTTCTAAACGTCCAGTAATTCCACCATTCTCCCACTTGATGAGGGTAGGAACACCTTTCAAAGCGAAGCGAGAGTCCTTTCTCAGAGCATGTTCTGGGTTCCGCCATGTCGGCCTGTCTCCGACATACACTCTGAGAAGAGTCACGGGCTTCTCAAAACCATCCACAACTCTATATATAACAGGTTCTGCCCTCACACAATCTGCACACACATCAAGGTTAATCACTCACAGGACTTTCCAAGTAAATAAAAAGTCGAAGCTATGATGGTAACATACACCCAGGAGTTATTAATACGAGAATAAATATTCAAAGTTCATGTACATTACGTGGCAAAGGCACCAGGAAATCAACTTGCGAAATGCTGAAGAGCAAAAATGTTACGCTATGTCTGGTACAAAGTGTACAGAGATCTGTACAACACCAGAGGGTACACACCCACTCCTGTCCGTATGTCTGGAACCTAAGCCAGCTTACAAAGCTTTTGATTCGACCTTGTCAGATTTAAGACCTACTCTTGAGAATTCAAGAAAGAGAACGACCAGAAGTATGTAAACGTTACATGCAGCCTTACAGTAGGCCATGTTTTAATAATCAACACCTTGTGATGATGCAAGCCTCCAACAAAATTTTCAACGGTTTTCAGAAGCTCACTGACGAGCCTTCAAATTTGCAATATATTCGAGCAACATTGCATCCATGACCATCTTCTCTTTCAAAATGCACAGTGGTTATACAACCTTCACGCTAAAAGGACTACGTCTCGTGCATTTCCATTTCTCTCACACTTGTTCTCCAGATCTTCAGGTTAACTCACAATTCGGGCTGAATGCCTTTGATAGCACTGGTCTATACTCCATTAATTATATAGATTCTAGCGCTATTTAAAGATGACTGCATGGCAGGTAATGGCCTTAGTCTGATTACTTGATCTGCGTGCAATAACTTTCAGAGTCTCTTTATTTCTTTGAGTCCAGAACAGATGACCCCCGGTGACAACCCTCAATTCCACAAATCGATACGGCCCGGTAAGAAAGTTGTGTGGTGACACATGGCAACTGTCCCAGGAAATGTTGCTCATTCAATGTAAGTGTACTTAGGATACTTAACGAGATATAAGTGGAGATATGGAGTAAGAATTTCCTACGGCAGAGAAGTAAGAGAATCAATCATCAATTCCACTCGCCAACACAAAGATGGAAGGAAAAGAAAGGTACTGGCTCAGTACATGAAATTCTAAAAACTCAGTCTTCGTATACACACTGATCATCTGCCCCAGAAAAAGAACCCCAAAAGTCCCGAGATGAAATCGATGCAGTTGGAAAGAAAGCGAAGTATGCGCCAAACGGCGAAACGAACCTGGGCACCAACTTTTCCCGAGAGCACTATCCCGGTCAGCAAGAAACAGCAGCAGAAGCGGTCCACTGCCTTGCACCTCAGCTGCCTTCAATACGGAGTCAAATTTGTCGAAACCTGTATCAACCATCGCGGCCGGCATCTTGACGCCTTCCGTTTCGCTCCCAGCTTTCTTGCCCAGTCCAGAGCTATAATATTGTTGCCCACTCGAAAGTTCTCCGAGCATGCAATAGCTGAGGCAGGAAGATCGTTTCGGTAGATGCTCGCGCGCAGTGGAAATGCTAGCGACAAGAGCTGATGACGGATATTGCAACCCTTCAGCCCGCAATGGGTTGAAAATGCCGGGGACACTCACGGTTCCGAGGGTCGTTACAGAAGAAGGCGTGCAGGTGTACTTCAGACTCCGAAATCCACTCATCTTCTCACCGCGACTATGGTGTGATGTGTCCACAAATGATCGGGTTGTTTGACAGCGCACCTGCAGCACGTCCTGACTTTCGACCCGGAAAGCGAGCTTCATGGCGCCTAGTCAATCCATTTCGGCCAAAAAGTCCACTTCTCATGTCTACGGCTGCCGCATACTCCTGCCTCTTCCGTTGAAGCTCCGTCTCCAAGAATGATTACAATAATTGAGAGGTAAAAAGTCATCTTTGGAGCCTCCCGGACTCTGATGATGCGGGGTTTACGACGGACCGGGAGGTCACGACATCACTTTGGAACAGGGCACCCAGCCGGGTGTTATAATCTGTATGAGGTTTCGATTAGTTCCCGTCGACTCAGACATCTTGGACAAGATTCCCGGCCTTGAGAAGCGAAAGGTTTCTACTCTTGACTATCGTGCGTGCTACACTTTAATTAATATGTAGTTGAGAAGATAGACAAATAATGGCAGTTATCTCCTTTTGACAGTATGCCATGCTGCAACAAGGTTTGCTTCCCGGTTCCACTGTCAAGAACTTGACGAACGATGCCCCAAAGAACTTCACGGAACATGGCCACATATTCTTCACAACGGCAGAAGGAAACCAACCATGTACAGGACTTCACACTGCCCTTCGTACTTTTGTTCGAGTTCGCGGGCGGGTTTCCAGACCTCTGTGGTTCTTCTCGCCCAACCAGCCAGGAGCAGGGCTTACGCAGCGACATTTGCGTTATTCAGTCTCGTCTTCCAAAAGGCATAATGTCGAGCTTTCCCAGAAGAAATCACAACAGAGGCCTGATGATGGGTGGACGACTTCAGGCGAGAGCACATGCGGGCCTTCCAATTCTACCGAAACTGCCTTTCCTGCAACTGAGTCTTTTTGGCAAACGCCAGTGACTAGCGGGCGCAAAGGTGCCGATGTTTCTGAAAATCTGAGAACCCAAGTCCGGTTTAGCTTTACATAAAGTATGCTTTTGGACCTGCGTGAATGAAGGTTGTCAAATGACGAGCCAAATAATTTATCCTTTCGTGTGAGGCACAACACAATAATAAATATGTACACGTTTGGTAAAGCATCCAGAATGTCCCTGAGAGCCATTGTCAAGTCCAGGAAGCGGAATGCAAGCTTCACACCTCGGGGGAGACTGTCGTCAAGTTGCTCTCATCGGTGTGTACAACCTTCTTTACATCCTTCATGTCTTCATGACTAACGGCAGACTGGTTAATTCCAAAAAAGCCAATCAACACCGCTATAGCTCCGAGTACATTAAGCGGAGAGGGGACTATTCCTCGTACTGAGTCGACGACAGCAGCTATTGGCACTTGAATGGTCAACCCTGCAGTTGCTGCCGTAGGAGTGGTAAGCAGCACTGCCCTCGCCCACAAGTAATCGCTGAGCACATTGTCTATGAGGCCTTTGCCTATAATGAGGCCGAATTGGGTGAGAGTGAGCCTATGGAAAGGCTCTATACCGCTAAAATGGAGAAACAGAGCGATGGGACCAAAAATTAAACCGTTAAAAAGTCCGATGTACCCGAGCACGAGAGCAGTGCTACATTTCCCATTTCCGTCGTCTTCATCGGGAATCTTGACTCGAATCAGAGCCGTATACGTCGCGTAGAACATTGCTGATGAAAGACAAATGACGTCCCCCAAAACTGCATTCGATGCATATTCTGCTTTCCCGTTCCAGGAATCGCCCACAGCCACGAAGATGCTGCCCGACATGCAGAGAAGCACACTCACCAGCTTCACCCAAGTAAACTTCTCCCCGAGGAATTTAACGGAAACGAGTAATGTGAACAAGCTCGATGCAGTGCTCAAAATGGTATTCGACGTGACCGTCGTGTACTTTAGGGAGAGATTGAACGTCAGCTGCGCCAGAAACCAGAACGGGCAAATTGTCAAGCCCACCAACGCTGTTCGTTTTCTCGACCATGGCTGATAGTCGGCCTCCTGCAGTCGCTGCTGCTGCAAATCGCCGTCCTCGAGGACTGCTACTGCTGTTCCTGTCTTAATGGGAAGCAGTGCGTCTTCCTCTTGCTCTAAACTTCTTCCTTCTTCCACCGACCCGTGCTCATCTTCTATGTTATTCCTCGGCGTACTGACCTCCTCCTCGCTAGTTCTTGGGACAGCTGCCCCTTCTTCTCTGCCATTTTCCAACAAGTTCTGCCTCTCCGGCAAATTGGTCACAAATTGTGGGGCTTCGGGGATCTTCTCACAAAGTTCACGAGCTTTTTCATTTAGGGTTTTGCTCCATCCCTTTCGTCTCATAAAAGACTTGAGCTTTTCGCTACCTTCGACGATGGGAATGTACACGACGAAGAGAGAATTGCAAATATATGTGATGAGGAACGGAGAAACCCCACTATCCACGACCGACTGAACTACAAAGCTCGCAACAATCCAAATCAAAGCCACTAAAATGATATATATCACACCCCATACCCAACGCCATGAAATGGAGGACGGTGTCGAAGCCGCGGAACGCTCCTCCTCCATTGCTGCAGGTGATGTCAAGCCCTAAAAACTAGTCATAGAGCCTGATTCGCTTCCTTTCTGCTTACGCCCACACACAATCGCCAGCCCCAGTAACAAACTAAGATCACTCCAAGCGCTGCTTAAGACCAATGATCAATCCTCCGGGGAAAAACTCGAGGCCCTATCCTCATCCCACTACGCAGCAGCCAGCAAGATCCCAGTGCTTTGACATACACAACTGCTCGACTGCGCATGACCAAATTCGAACTCTCGGACCAGAAATGTTCCCACATCTGATTCAAGCATTCGGGCTACAGATTCTCAATTTGACATTGCTGGATAAGCGTCCGTCCTTCTATACGGTAATAGAATTTGGTCCCTCGGAGGATAGTATCGAGCAAACGAGGACCGTTCTTGGCGAACAGCAATCCATCGGATTCACACCGCTCTATATGTTAGCAAACGTTCTGCATCTGGATGCATATTCACAAAAGCTCCTCAATTATTCCTCTGATCAAGAATGTCTTTTACATAGGCATCAATGCAAGCCTCGTTCTATCAGTGACTATCATTCTATGCACCACTTCTCGTCCATTCCTACAAAGCAATGGCACTGTGGAAATCTTGAGTGGCAAAATAATGGGGTTAGAATAAGTTTCCTTGAGTTAAGACCGCGCGGTGTACTCTCACTGATTACTTCGAGATCATTGGACAAATCTATTGGTTTTGATTGGCTACTTTGTGTATTAACTATTTGCGCATTCATTTCGTTGACCATTCAAAGACATGCAAAAGGGGGCAAGTGGATAGGGAAAATATGGTAAGACCCCCATCAAGAAGAAAACAAAGGAATAAATTACTTATTGAAAGTTAATAATGCAATTTTCGGAGCAGATTATATATATCCAATATGCTTTTTGCTTATACAAATTAGAAACCGGTGACTTGGGGTGCAACATGCTCTAACGAATACAGAAAGCATAAAAATTTAGTAATGTTGTAAATAATGTTTGATTGAGTTTTTTCCAAGTATTTTTCAGATTTTCCGCTTTTTTCCATGACATTCTCTTCCCAAGATACTTTGACTTAAATTTTGGTATATCATGCCTCATAAAAGGGGTCTCCATGGTAACCACTTCAATAAATGATTTGTGAGGTTTGTGAGTCAAGAGATTCAAAAGATAAGCCTATTCAATGATAACCTCTCTACTCAATATAAAACCGATTAGAGTTCAACAAAGTCAGTCATAATTTTGAAAGTATGACCGGCAAAACTTAGAATCCAGGCAAAAAAAAGAAAAAGTTAGATAGAAAAGCACAACAAGATGTTTCTCTGCCAAAGTCATCACATCCTAGTATGATTGTTTATGCATAGCTATTATGTTTATTGTTTTTATTTTTTCAATTTAGTATCTTTTTTTCTAAAATGAAATGAACATGTTATTTAAGAATGAAACTTTTTATTAAGTGTAGGTGTCATGATAAAAAATAACACATGTCCAGCTTTAGTAAATGTCAATTGGTTTTTGAATAAGATAAGATTAACTTTTTTATGAATAATCTTTCATGTTTGTGATATATTGGTTAGAAAGGTAAAATAAAATGAATTAATTTTCATAAAATCATGACATGATGTATAAACATTGTTGAAAGAATCTTGAGCATTATTATGAATCCATTCAACATTTAATTTTTCATAATACTATCAATTAAAAAATAACATTTGTGCTTGGATAAATTTATACTTACATAATGCATATTGGATACTTGACTCTAAAGATTGATATAAAATCCAAATCCAAATAGCTCTCATATCAAATTTAATGTATTTTTAATGAAGTTTTGAATATACATATACAATAATGCTCTTGAAATGCATGCGTTTTGAAATTTGATATATTAGTTTTATAAAAAGAGCTTCATATATTAATCTTATATTATGACAATTTATAAGAAAGCTTCATGATTATAAAGAACGTTAATTATCATTCAGGTAAAAAATATGATAAAATATAATGATTTTTAGTTAGTTATAATTAAAATAGAGTTCATTTAAGAGTTTATACTTAAAGTCTATTCACATTTGTTTATTTATAGTTATTATTTCAACAATATGTGTGCTCGATAATTAGACATTTAACTTCGGTAATCAAGAATAACACGTCAGCATCTATATGCGTGTAAGATAAATATTCAAAGATATTATTAATGTAACAATTGAAAATAACACATCAATATGCATGTGAGATAAAAAATTAGTGTGATAATTAGTGATTAAGTTAAAAATAACATGTGAGCAAAAGTGAAAATTCAAGTAGATTGATGTATCATACATCGGCATGCTTAGGTTAGTTAGGCTAGGCCTCATAAAATTATGCATATGCATAAATTAAATAAACTAGATTAGTTTATGCACACCAACGGCGGTAGTTTATGCATATTTCTCGATGCTCCTCTACAGCTCGAGGAGTTCGCGTTGTTTTGATTGGAAAATGCCTTCCAATGACAGATGCATCAGATCGGTCCTATTTGCATCCAGTTTCCACTTGAGAATGGAAAAGTCTCACTCTACATACGGTGTGTTAGGCAAAATCGTCGCTAATCCACCACAAAACGCACGGAGGCGCTGCAATTTTTGAGGCGCATCGTTCCAGGCTGCATCAAAGTTGGTGCTGTTGTCGTGCTTGTCGATGGCGTAGCGCATGACGGGGTCGTTTTTGTAGACGGCGATCAGGTGGCGATGTTCCTCCTCGACTTGGTCGACGTCGTCAGGGGACCAAAAGCGTAGGATGCGCTCCCGGTACGGATTCAGCACATCACGGTTGAAGTGAGCGGGCCGAATTTCTACAAATTGACCAGGTAGAACTGGAGGGGCGTGATGCTCCTGCGGCAAGTTGTTTTCATCCCGCTCTGCCCGCACGGGCTGTAGCTCGACCACCAGCGTTTCTGCATACGTCACAATCTACTCCAGAACGACCGCAATCTCGGCCTCATCCAACCGTTGCAAGCAGCCCCGTGCCATCGATCCCTGGTCCTCGATCCAAATGGTGAGCTGGTCAGTCCGGGTGCACATGGTGTGGAAGCCCACGAAGTCGCAGTCACTATTCTCGTCGTCATCACGGTCAATCAGTTCGAGTCCGAACATGGTGTTGATTGTCGCGACTACCGCCATGATGTGGCTTTCTAGCTGCGCCAACAGCAACGATCGGTTCTGCAGCAGTGCAAATGTGACATTGATCGCGTCGATGGCCGGTAAGATAGCGGAGGTCACGATCCACCACGCGTCAGTCGGAAACAATTCTGGACGATCTTCCTCGGTGTAAGCTATTAGCCTGTGCTGATTCGCCTTCAAGAATTTCAGCATGTTGCCCAGATGTACCCAGCGGTTTGTTTTTTTGGCGCACTTGACACCCATCTCAATAATCAGATTGAGCTGGCTGCGCAGGTAGACGGTGTAGGTGTATGCAAACTTAATACACGCCCCTTTGTCGATTCCTTCGGCACTTTCCTTTGCGATGATATAGATCTTGTGGGGAGCACACCAGACGTGCATGACATCGTACTCAGCAATGACTACCAGCCTCGTGACGAGACCGCAATGGCGCCCTGTCAATGTATTCTCTCCATCGTTGCAAATGTCGATCAATTTAGCATGCTAGTTCAAGAAGAGCACGTACAAAAACCTCACGACGAGTTTGAAGATGTTCTCGGAGGTATGGCGCTCGAACATCGGGAGAGCGACCAGATGAAGGTTGAGCAAGCGGCCGTGCTAGTGGACACAAAGGCGGAGATCGAAGAACGAATGTTCGCGGTGGGTGCTACCATCACCGGCAAACGAAAACGCCCAAACCTGTTCGTCGTCGCAAAGCATATCCACAATACGTTGATAGAGCGACTGCAACTTGCACCCGGACAAACTGGCCGACCATGAGGTCGTTGATTCCGTTCACCTTTGGCAACTGGGCCCGGTTCTTGGCATGACCGATGGCAAGCACCGTCTGCTTAAAGGACATCCTCGTGCCAACGTCATCGATTGCAAGTCGATACCGCATCGCGTTCTTTATCGTCACCGTGTATAATGCCACCCCGTTATCCGCTTGCTCATCCTACTTGAACAGCAACATGGCGTGCTTCTTTTGCTTAGCAAGCTTGGCAATTTTCAGGGAGGCTACTCATGTTGCGTCTTCTCCGCCATCATCATCGTCGCAGTCGAAATCGTCGTTGAAGAATGTCGGGCCTACTTTTTTGTTTTTCTTTAAAAATTAACAAAAACATGAACATATGTGTGTAGAAGATAGATATATGAGTTGGAAAGAGTAGATTTATAGGAGTTATGATAGGATTAGTAAGAATTTGTCTACGTCCGAAGATCTTCGGATCTTCATGTCTTTGGCGCAGTCTTTTTAGGACGTACGAAGAGCTGTGTCTTCGGCGAAGACATCGGAATCAATTTCAAATCATGCAACGGTCCGGACGATGTTCGCATGCGTCGGGAGTTCTACGAGGCGCGGGAGAAGGCAATGTTAGGGCTTCAAGGATAAGGCAGTATGAGAAAACTGCGCGCCGACATTGCGATATCAAGAACGATCGAGAGCGAGAGGAATTGCAATTGAGCCGACCCGCGCTTAGCGAAACGCAAATTGAATACATGGCGCCCAAGAAGAATGAGAAGGTGAGGAAATTGGTTCCCTTGAAGGTGCCTTATGAGGAATTGAGACCCTTCAGACACGAGTTGAGGGAGCCGCGGCTTGAATTCCTTCTGTGGAATTGGAATTGCGTCTCAGCGAGTATCTGCAAGGAAGTTCTGGACAATAGCGCGACCGAAGGCGAGGAGCTCCGCGGTAATCCCCTGCTGTGGACCATCGAGCATTGGACGAAAGTAATGGGACCGTGTGCGGGTAGCGACGAAGACCTTCTGTTTGATAAGAATAGTGTAGGACTTACGCGCGGCGAGGAATTCTCTTACGGGCCTCTCTTCGAGACTGTAAGACAGGGAACAAATGGATGGAAGACTGTCGATTATAAGGATCCGAAGAGAAAGACGATCGCGTTAGGGATCATGCACATCTTACGGCCGGCGCGCACGACTTATGTGATGGCCTGGCAAGTGGGATTCTTCGAACGCATTTTGAAGGGACAACGCGTATATTAGGCAAGGATCTTTTACGATCTTGTCTGGGTGAATGCGTCTAATCGATGGACGGATCTATGACCAATCATTTTACCCCCTTTCTAGTGAATTTCTATCGAGGAATGGGGTTGCTTACGAGGAAGGAGGAGAAGCGATTTCCAAGGGAGCCGAAGAGCTTTACAGTGGAGTCCAGTGAAGGGACTGAAGACGAGAACCGATCTCCCGCAGTTCCAATACACACCACCGCTCGAGGACCAGTGCAGGTGGACGTGGTTCAAAGGCAGAAGCAGCCAGAGAGACGAGTGGCAAAGAGAAGGAAGGTCGTGAGTGATGACGAGGAGGAATTGGCCCACGTGGTAAGAAGGATGGATATGGATGTAAGTGGAGCCAGACAGCACAGAGCTCGCGCGAGACCAAAGAAGAGGGCAAAACGGAGGATGGTAACAGTTGAGGTGTCAAACAGCAGTGTGGAGAAGACGGTGACACCAATTGTAAACACATCCGAAGTCGCAACTAGCGAGTTAATGCGACCTGTGGAGTTAGGGGTACCTTCGGAGGTGTCAATCGAAGTTCCGGCAGATATACTGGCAGAACTTTTGAAGAAGGGAACGGAATTGGTAAGTCCGATTTCTCTGTCTTCGGAGCAGACACGGTCTGCGCAAGGCGAAGGGACACCCTAGATGAAGATGAACGATGACCTGGAGAAGGAGTTTACTTTGAGCAAGGAGATTCTGGAACAGGTTTTCGCAAGGGTAGGAGGGACGGTGGTAGAAGCCGAGGGCATTACACTGCCAACGTCTCATGTGGAAGATGTGAGAACCGAAGAAGTAGATAAGACTTCGGACGAAGATGTGAAGACATTGGAAATTACATTTCCTGCATTCTTGCAGGATAGTGTAGTTCCATTGTTGAAGTACTTAGACGGGAAGAGAAGGAAGTATGCCGTATCAAAGGAGCCAGGATTCTATGTACAGATGATTAGGAACATGACGAAGCTCAAGAGAGCAGTTGCAGTAAAGAGGGAGTGGGATTCCGCGACTGCATTGGCCCGGGAGCGAGCTGCAACCTTGTCAACCGAGTGCGCGGCAGTGAAGGCGACATTGCGGGAGCGAGAAGTCCAACTTCGGGAGAAGGAAACTAAGTGCACAGTACTGCAGCTGAATCTAGATAAGGAATTCGGGCACTGTGCAGAGTTGCAATAGACTTGTGGAGGACTTTGTATCTCTAATGAGAATGTCCAAAAAGTAACAGTGGATTTGATAGCGAGATTGGAGAAATCCAGGGAAGCTTACAAGGCGACAAGTAAAAGATCGGACCGGCTGATCACTGTTGCGGAGAAGCGAGAGAAGATGCATGTCGAGGAACTTGCTAAGTTGGAAGCCCGAAGAGTCGAAGAAACTTGTATCTCCGAAGAACTTCGGGGCAAGCTCGTAGGTACAAAGACGGCGGAGGAAGATCTTCGTAGGAAAATCTCGGAGATTGACGCGAAGTACGAAATGGAATTCCGACGTGCCGAGGAGCTATCAGCAAGTCTGTTGGCGGGACATCAGAAGCACAAAAAAGAATTGAAGGATTGGGCCAAGAAAATGGCAGATTGCAAGTCGACCAAATCTTCGGAGGTCGAATGTGGATTAAAGGTTAAATCTGACTGTTGACGGTTACGGGAGCAGTTAGAGAAGTCGGAGATGAGATCGGAAGAGTCGCAAAGGAGAATGCAAAAGGCAGAGGATGTCTACCGTCAGCTGCGGGAGGATTCAACCGACATGTTGAGATTGCGGTTAGAGAAGTGCCTGAACGGGTTCGCGATGTGGGGATTGGATTCGGTGAAGTGGTTGAAGCTGGATCTGCTCGAGCGACGGCTGATGAGCGCGAAGTCCAGCGGATCCGCAGGGCACAAACAGATTGTAGAGTTAGTTAATTCATTTTCAGAGGAATTGAATGAGGCGCGCTAGAATGTAGAAGTAGAGATTGTAAACGTGTTGCGTAGATTAGGAGTAGAGAGTAGTTCAGACGATGCTGTAACCGTTACATCGGACGGCACAGCCCTTGAGACCGATTCGCCTAAGGCGGTTGATATTCCAGAGTAGCCATTGTGAATAAAGAGGCCCAAGGCTCTTTCCTTGGGGGGCTTTTCTGTCTATTGGCTTGTCTCAACTGTCATTCTGTCTTCTCTGTGTGTTTAGGTGCTGGTGTGTGATTCAGACTATGAGCACATGGCGCTTCTGGTTGTCGAAGTTACCGCATCGGGAGTCGTGAGTATTCAGCTTGGATGTCTTGGGTAGCCTGGGGTTACTGCGGGATTGAAGCAAGTTCAGGTCTTAGTATTCGGGTTAGTATGTTGAGATTTATGCAGTGCTGGGAAGTTTACCCCCTGAAATATGACTGTGGGATCGCTTGCGATTCTCACAGGCTTTGATTGGAAAAGGTTCAGGTTGTGAGTACGATTTAACACTACCTCGTGAGTCTTCGGCTCTAGCTGAGTAGTGTCTTCTAGAAGTAGCATTGGCCTAAGAAGTAAAACTTTGTAATAGAATGCTATCTTGTGACAAATCGTGACTTTTGTGTTTGTTTCTGTCCTCGTGGGATCAGATCTATACCATTATGCTCCATTTTGGTATTTATCTGTCATACAAAGAACAACTCACCAATGATCGTATCAATGATAGGCGCGCTGATTTTGTACTCAATAGAGTCGTTGGAGAGGTCCAAGTGGGCCTAGAGCGTATTGGCGATGTTGATCTTGCCTTGTAAGCAGGCCTCCCTGGCTGAATTCGACATCTGCTGGTACGCCTCCCATGATTCTTTGTGTTGACCTTGGAGGTGGCTTCGATAGTTCAACGGCATGAACGATTTCGTAAAATATTTGATGTCTCCACGGCTCTTGCGCTTCCGAGTTCCTCCCTCGACTATCTTCACCTTGTCACGGCCTTCAAAAGCATAGAACTTACACCGCACAGTCGGGTTGCCATTCTTATCGTGGGAGATGATCTCGAGACCGAATTCCGAGCACTGTTTGGGCTGGAATGGGGTGCTGCGCGGCAGCATCGAGTAAGCGGAGTGATTCGACTGGCACGAGGTTGTGCGCCGGGGCTGCGGCAGTTGCAGAAGCCAAAAAACGCAAAAAACACGACTTTATTAATTTATGCATTGCTTGATACGTAAATAGTTAAGGTCTCAAGCTTAAGGTTTAACTTATGCTTAAGCTTAAGGTTTAACTTATGCATATGCAGATCTATTTTTAGAAAATGCATAAATTTATGATGCTTTAATTAGGCGACTAAATTAGCTTAATTTAGTCGTACGAAGAGACCTTCATTTGGACTTAGTTTAGTCGGTGGGCAAACATGAGTTTTACTTAAACGTTTAGAGTGCATAAAGTGGAACTATGTGCATTTCATGGTCAACAGACCTTTAGTTCAATTCCTACCTGGCCTTTATTCAGGTTGTCAATCACCCTGTTTTGAAATACTTCTTTGGATTTCCGCTCCTGTTCAATACTACAATGTTGTTCTCCAGAACTTACGGTAGTCCAATATGATTTCTATGATTATCTAGGAAGAAACTCTAATTTTCCATCGGAAGAAATCCTATCTATGACTGAACCGTTTAGTTTATCTCAGTTCAATTTATCACCTTGAGCCGGAAGATTTAGACAAATAGGGGTGTTGGATTATAATACAACACCGTTATTTGTCTAAATCTGCTCGCTTGGGATGTACCTATTACATGTCTTTGAATCTTCTCAATAATCCTCTAGTAACAGTTTTGGTTCTCTGGAAATTCTTAATGTCTAAACTTAGATAGAATCAAAGACCCACTTTCATTTTTTCATAATAACTTCATCGACATGTTTCATACTCAAAGAAAAGTCATTTGCACGCTTAGAAGCTAGAGAACACCTCCCACTCCTCTCAATAATTAACTTTGCAACTCATCACATCCTGTGTTACACTGCGATGGAGTTCGATATCCACTCGATTCATAAACGCTAGTACTTGCGGTAGACAGTTTAGGGAAATGTTTTGGTGGCATGTGATATGCCTGGTCTAGTATGACTTAAGATTTTTTAAAGTTTTTGATAAAAACTAAAAATGTTTAACATATCCACTGTCTCTAGAAGATGCAGGAACTTTGAATGAGCAGGCGCACCCACCTAGTCTAGTTTAGGTAGTTTAGGCGTCTCGGTATACGATCGTCTAAACCAAACAAGCCGGATCATACATATCATCAAAAATTATGAAGAAATTATGAACATAATTTAAGCATGAAAAAAAACTCATGAAACTGATGTTTCATGAGCAACAAATATAAATTTTGTAATATAAAATTATACAAAAAATAGATGTTTTAAAATAACATGATATATGCATAACAAATCACATGAGAATTGAAAAATTCTTCTGTAGCAAACAGATCTTGTATAGGCCTGAATAATGAAAATATGTAGAGTTGTATGTTTCAATAAATAAATAAATAAATAAATAAAGCTTGTTAACAAATCAAAAAATTTGATCAAAAATCAGTTAGTTAAATCAAACATTTTTTTTTAACTTCTCAATACTGATAATAACATATCATTTGAATGTTTGTATGTAAATTACTAAAAACCGTTGTTTGTGCATAATTTGATTATGATAAAAATGTAAAATTTGAGATGAATAATATATATCAAAATAATTGTAAATATAGTTTTAAATTAAAAAAAATTTAATGAAATACAATGAATTTTTTTTGCATTTTGATACAAATGAATAGGTTCTTATGTCTTCATACAAATTTAGATTAATTTTTCCAAGAAAATATGAATAATGTTTATTATTTATCATACTTAAACCAATAAATAAAATAAAGAATCCAATAAATTGATTTGAAAATAAGATATGTGCATTCACGTTAGAAGAACAACAGAAATTTAACTATCTTTTACTACTGGTGAATTTTTCAATTAAAACTTTTTGGTAATTTTGATGAAACTTTGAAAATATTTCAATTTTTGTTATATAAAATTCACTTTTTTTCATTTTATTGAATCAAATAAAGACTCCAAAAGAAGATTTTTTTACCAAAATAATAGTAATTATTCATATTGTGGAGTATGTTTATGTTGTTTCATATTTATAAATGCTCATTATAGAAAATTGAAATTTTGTATAAGAAATTACAATTGATTGTTTACAACAACAAAATTGCCTACACGACTTTTTGTAATATTGAAACTTGTTGATGAAATGCCTTACAATTTGAAAATTTTGTTATAAATAAACACACACCTTATATCCAATAAATTACAAAAGCAAAATTATATATCACAATTTTATGAACATCATTTTTTAAATCAATTTTGGTAGATAATCATGAATACTGTGAGGTGGAAGAGGTTGTAAAATTATATCAGATTGTAAATATCTCATAGTAACTTATTTGATTCAATGGAATGCATATACATTTTATGAATCAACTTTGGATTGTGTAGATTGTGAAGTGTAAAAAGTGAAGTTTTGATTATTCAAGGTTTTGAATTCAGGATCAATTAGTGACTTGAATCTCAAAAGAATAAAATTATATAATCATCTTTAATTAGTTGATACTAAAGATGAAGACACAATTTAACTATTGAATTTCATGTTTTTCATGTCAACAAAATGTATGTTCATTGCGTAAAATGTATTAGTTGAAAACTACAAATCATTAATACATGTGTTTGTTTTGTATATATATTTACAAAGAGAAAAATTAAAAATTACAAAAACATTTTTTTATATGTTGAAAATTAATATTCTTGTTATTATTATTTATTTTGAATTAACTTTTTAATGTTTTGAATAAAATTTTATATATATTTAATGTTAGGAATATTTTAATCAAAAATTATGTTGAGAATACAATCCAAAAGATAAAATTTTCAAATATATTTCACTAAAGCATTTTTACAATGAAGTATCTAAGTTTCTTGAAACTAAATTTTGAAATTGAATCTTTGATTTCGTGGTTTTGTTGTACAAATCATTTCATGACATGCAATTTTTTAGTTTGTAACATTCATCTATAGGTAACAAAATAATGTAAACATTTGAAGATAAATTTCTAGTTTTGTAATTAAACCTTTATTTTTGTAAATAAAATTATTTAATGTATTAAACGCAATAGTCAAATATATCAAATTCTCATATTCAATGCATGATTATGTGGTAAAATAATTTTTTTACTCAGATCAATAATAAATTTCTCTTCTCTTTACTTATAATTTCAAATGTACATTTCAATGATGAATTAATTTGAGATTTTCTAATTTAAATATAACCTGTCAGAAATTTTATGAATTGAATGTTTTCATAATATGATAATGTTCATCTTTTGTTATTATATAGAAAACTAAAAATAGAATTTCATAGGTAAAAATTTTATTATTTATAAAAGTGTCTTGTTTTGTTTGCCATTGTAATAAGTCTTCATTCTAAACTTATGCTTCTAAATACCACTTATTTTTTAATATAAATGAGTTATTTTGAGATAATAATAGAAATAAATCATTGTGAAAGATTTCAGATTTCAAACGTATGTAGTGTATTTCTATTTATGTATGATGTAAATGTAAAATGAATGTTCATTAAAAAAAATATACATTAAGTTCATTAAATCATGAACAGCCATCGAGTTATGGCTGTTATTTCTAAATACATCAATACTTCACAAAATAAAATAGATTGAAACGTTCATCAAGAGTAGTCTCTCAATTGCGTATGAAATATACCAAATGCTCAATCACCATCCTCTTCAAAACTACCGATGTACAATGTGTAGAGGAGAATATGAAGACATGAGATCTAAGCAAAACTCGGCAGTGACTGCAACCAATCTTGAACAGAAAGATGACACCGATGTGGTTACTTTCAATATCTGCCGAAGAGGAACTTGTCTAGTTTTGTTGGCACCTTTGGGGATTTAGTAGAGAGTCAGAAGAGTCTCACTCCAGGTTTACGATATCATGCGATGCACTTTCCGCACTTTATTGCCAACTGTCTTCCACGAACAAAAAGCGCGTCGTTTTCTTCACAACAGGATAGATAGATACCCGTATCTTGCTACTCTAGTGTCTCCTATCGAAATATACATCAAAATACGAAAATCCATCCGCAAAATTTAGGGATAAGTAAGTGTCTTTCAAAGTAGAACTGGTCGCCACTTACACGTTTGTGACAAGCCGGTTAAGCAGGTTACAGCAGATTAAGCTGTTGTAGGCTTTCCACGGTTTTCTTGACGCTCTCTTCTATCGTAGTGAAGTTCACGCCCAAATGCCTCATCTTTTCATTCGAGAACTTGAACACTGGCTTGTTGAAAGTTGCTTCATCCATGCCTTTCAAATCGGGCTTCAGGACGTTCGTGTACTGTGGATAGAGCTTGGCCAGCAACAAGGCAATGTGCTCGTTGGTCAAACTTTCCGCTACTGCCAAGTATCGCCCTTCCGCATTCGGATTTTCCATCGCGAGAATATGGGCCAATGCAACATCCTCCACGTCCACAAATGAAATGTTGGTGGGAATTATCAGATTATCCTCCCGCCTTTCTATGCCTTGGAGGATTCTCAGAACCTCGTTACTGCTCCAATTTACAGTCTCTTGCAACAAGCCTCCGACAACCGTGCAAGGCACGATGGAAACCACGTCAAAAGGAGCATCTTTTGCGTACTCAAAGGCAGCTCGCTCTGCAACCGTCTTAGCCATATGGTAGTACATTCCAATCTTCAGACAGAACTCAGGGTCAGTCCACCAGCTCTCATCCACTACGTCATCCTCAGATTTGTTGACGAATTTGTCGCTATAAAATACAGCTGCCGTCGACGATGTGTACACCACCCTCTTCACGGTCTTCGTTTTCGCAGCAGACTTCAGCACATTCATCGTTCCTTTCACGGCAGGATCCACAATTTCTTTATAGGGATCGACAGCGTCCACAGTTACTCTTGCTGCAGTGTGCATAACACAATCCGCCCCATCGACCACTTCATCATAATCGCCCTCCGCCATTAACTCTGCTCTGTACAGAACAAGCCTCTCCTGAGCTCCAGGCAATTCGAGCAAGTGGCGCAATTTCTTCACATCCTGCGGATCCCGAACTGTACCTCGCACATTGTATCCACGCTCTAGGAGCATCTTCACTAGCCAGGACGCAACAAATCCATTCGCCCCGGTAACGACCACCGTTTTACTCACCATGGGTCCGACTGGTAGCACCAGGGGTACGAAATCAGTGTATGAGCTGAAGGGAATTTGTTCACTCGCCCAATAACTCGTCGGGGGAACAGGTGCGGATTAGCTCTTCCTCACCCCTCTACCTCCTGAAACGCGGATAGCACCTCTCTTGCATCGATGTCGCATTTATCGAGGAAACTCGCTCCACGCTCAACTGACGTCTCCAAGTTATTCGATGCAGGTTCCAGTAGCCTGTATCCAAGCACAAATGCTACTCCCATGAGACAAAATGGGAGGTCCAAACAAAACTATTGCTGACCAGGAAACGGGTAGTAAGACTTCCGACAGAGGTGGAGTTTCCCTAGCTGGGTTAGTGCCTACGGAATCCAATGGATGTAAAATACTGGCGAAGCCGAAAACCATGTGAGACAATCCTAGAAAACACAATCTCCACCATACATCGGAAGCGAAAAAACCCAAACTAAACATGGATAACATGACGAGGATTGGCCTCCTTGACAGTTCAAGTCAGTAAACACAGAGTGACCAATAACTTCCAGTCAGCCTCTGGTGGTTAATGTACCACAATTGTTTCTTCTTCATATGATTGACCGGCAATCGCAGAGTTAAGAGATGTTTTCGTGTAATGGAAATTTGAAAACCTAACGTTACCTTTTTAAGTTTTACGGTTAGAATAGAAAGAAAAGCATGCGCGTCGTGAAATGTAGCACCGACGAATATAGCCAGAAGGTGTCCAAAGTTTAGAGAAATGTGTGCTGGAAAGGAAGAGAGAAAACAAATGATCAAATCCCACAATTTGAACGGCAGAGGAGAAATAAGTAATCAATTAGCCGAAATTAGGGTTCGCATGGGAAAGTAAGGGAGGACTCACTTGAAAGTGGTCAGTATACCTGTTTCGACATGAAAGGGGTTCTTGGTTTGCCATATAAGAGTTCAAATTCTGTTACTAGTGAGAGAGATTGGGAAAAAAACTTTGTCCTAATCAAAATTGAGTGAATAACAATGATCAAATTCAGTCTGCCCAGTCAGATTCGCAAAATTTTCAAAAGTTAATTATATATCTTCCGATTTGTAATAATAAATCAGATATTGGACTGAAAAAACTTGTGGTGTTAGAATAAACAAGTATATGCATTTTGCCTTGTAATCCCCCTTCATAATTTCAAAGTAAGAGATTTGAATTGTTCAAACACTCATAGAAAGTGTTTTTAAGCAAAATAAATCTGTAAATTTATTTTGATTGCTTCAAATTGATAGGATTGCATTCTTGTATGTATCAATTGTATATATATGTTCAGATATATATTTTATTTTTTGAAATGTAAAATTTTTATTTATTCAAATTTATAATATCAAAAAGTTTTACAAGCACAACATGAATCATTGCAAAAGATTATGAATTTATAATTTGAGAAAAATCTCAACAGGAAAAATAGTATAGATAAACATTCAAATTCAAATTTATATTGAAAATATAGAAAACATTAAACAATGAAGCGTATAACTGTTGTTACATTAGCTATATGTTTTTTACACTTGCGCCTTGATGGGCTTCCCATCTAGCCGTACAAGGATAAAGGGAAGCCTACAAAAGCTACGATTCCACAGATTTATGATTGGATGGTTTTGATTTGTGTACGTCACGAAGTTTACTAGAGCGAATGATCCAAACGACTTTTTCATATTCCAAGGAACGTTCTTATCGTTTTGGACCTGCTGAAGGTCCGACATCGATGCAAAAAGTGCCTTTGTTATGCCATTTCGAGCGTCAAGAAGTCCTACACCACTAGTTTTACCATGTCATTTCGAGATTTTAAACGCAGACAGGATCAGAAGAAGCGAGTGGAGTCACGGAAATAATAACAATACAGTATACTACAAGTTTGGAAGTACAGAGTACTGATACAGGGGATACGATGTACGGACTCTGATTGTGGAGAGGTGTCAGCAAACGAGATAACAGAATGATAAGTGAATCGCTGCCTTCTAAAATGTATAAGAGATGGAATGGAAGATCGCACGTTCAACGCATGAACTTTCTTCTGTTGATAAATGTGTCCGATCCGATTCCCTTCTGCTGCCGGGTAGCCTATGCGGATAAACTTTTGGAAGATATATTGATTATTATCCAAAGACCGCAATTGCATGTATGCAATGCAGGTAATTGCGGCGAGTTCATAATCAAACCAAAATCTCAGATTCTACAATCTTGTTAGAGTAAAAACCTATTCGTAATTTTTGGAACTACAAACGGCTAGGTCCGTGGAAAAAATGTAGAGAATAATAAAAAGATCACCTTAAAGAAAATCTAAAATTTATATTGGTGAGTAAAGAACTAATTAACATACCGGTTGCTTGGGTCCACCGAGCTTCGATTTATATCCTAGAACCATTCCTCTCCTTAAAAATGTCGTCGGAAACTGTCACTCAACCGGTCTGACATTACGAACTCTCTTTCCAGCTCGAGTTTGTACCCGTTCCATGTGTAACGCCATCTGACTGAAAATGTCAAAAGCACTCACTCGCTCACTCCCTGGCATGCTTTCGTCGACGTCCTTCGTCTCTGTTACACGCTAATATGAAATGTAGCCCTCTCCCAGAGCACTTCTCTCCCAGTCGTCCATCATCAGTAACAAAAAAGATTTTAGCAATCAAATCTGCCTGCAGAACTAACTGTTGATGTAGGACCGGCAAGCAGCACTACTGACTGAGCGCCTGTGAAAGTTTTGCAAGGTGCAAGGAGACAGGAGCGTGCTCCGATTGCTCGCTCGCTACTACTGGAGTACTCTTGAAAGTAATAAGTTTGGACATATAGATTTAGTTCAATTTGTGTCTTATATACAGTTGATAAATTGAAAAATGTTTAGGCTAGTTATCTTTCACTTGGACCTAATTAACCTTCATTCTACTATACACAGTTCTCTTATGGGTCGATGCAGGTTAGTCACTTCTTTTATTGGTCTATGCAGTCTAATAGTAGCTGCAAGGTAGTAGGTATGCAGTAGCAATTATAGGATGTTTTACCAATAGGGTAATACCTTATAGTAAGGTGATGGATAATTAGCCCTAAGTGAGTGATAATTAACCCCACCCTTAAAAAAATAGTAAAGTAAATTCAAAAAAGTTATGAAATCACAAGAACAAAAATCATTGATTAAATTATGATGAAATCAACTACAAAAAATGATAAATATATCAGAATTTTTTAAGATAAATTATATATGCTGTTAAATTTTAAAATCTGCACCCAAAAAATTAAAACATAGAAAATTAAATTAAAAAAATATTAAATTGATCTTGGTGAAAATATGTCCACATGAATATCGTGTATTTTACTCAAATAATTTTCATTGGTTGCAAAAAAGCTAAGATGAATTTTCATTAACTACACTAACAATAACATGATTTTTATTGAATAATAAAAATCTTTTCCTTGATTAATATCTTGAAAGCTATAATCTCCACAAAAATATGATTACTCCACAAAAAATCTTTAAAAAAAATTTCACACAATTTTATTTCTATATAAAAGTCAATGAGGACAATAATCATACAAAATCATAAATGGAAACTAATTGATAGTAAATTTTAAATTTTCTCCTTATGAAAAACATAAAAATCACTTAAAGTATTTAGTTAAAATATATTTAAGTCAATTGTATCAACTAAATTTGTCATAAATTTTTTAATCAATTTAGTTTTTTATGACACATTGTAATTCATACATCAAAGTTAATTTTGTGGAAAGTTTTGAAGAGTTTTCCAAAAAAATTATTATTTGAAAATTTGAATATGAAAAAATAATAAATTTTGAGTTATTTTAAGTTAACTCTATCTTAGATTAATTGGAGTAAGCAATAATTATGGTTAGTGAAGTTAACTGTGGTTAGTTTAGCTAAGATGTGCATTTATCTTTTTTATATAGAAGACAAAAGGAGACATTTATTACGTATAGTACAAAATTGCTCTTTGAGAGTGATCATGAAGGAATAGAGCTTGGCTATAGAGATTGCATATAGAATTGTGCTTTACTGAAGTTTCTACTCTTGCCCGTAGACATAGCTTGTGAAAGATGAATCACATTATCTTGAAGTTATGACTGTCGTGCATGCTAATTGATCTTGATTGTTGAATCTTACATATTCAACATACATAAAACCAATTATTGATTTTACTTCATATAATATTACATCAAACAAAATTTAAATTTCTATAATATCTTTGAAATATTTAAAAAAATTTGATGTTTTTATTTTAAGTTTATAAACTTAACATATATATGTTATTTTTGTTCATAATAAGAGCAATATCTAATCAATAACATTATCAAACATGATTTAAATCATAAAAAAATACTAGATTTTTAATGTAAAGATCTTAAAATTAAAAATTATTTTTGGCATAAAAATTGCTGGTTTTCAAGAAAAATCTCAACTATGTATAACTTGAAGGTACCAACAATCAAAATGATCATCACGCATCACAGTCTCAACATCAAGATAACATGATTCACCTTCCACAAATTACATACACAGACAAAAGTAGAATCTTCGTTAAAGCACAAGTGTATACATGGACTTCATAACCAAGCTCTACTTTTTCCTCTTCACTCTCAAAGTACAACTCTGAATCGTACGTAGAATGACTACTAACCTCTTCTATAGAAGAAGAGATAAGGTGCACATCTTAGCTGATCTAACCATAGTTAACTTCACTAATCATGAATATCGCTAATTAAATTTAATCCAAGATAAAATTAACCTAACAAACTCCCCATTGACTCAAGTTTTGGAGAAATAACTAATGCAATTCACAAGTAATTTTGCCAGAAGTTCTAGAAGATAAAGATAAATCACGCTTTTTCTCTATAACAGAGAATTAATTAGATTTAAGCCAGAGCCGGAAAAAAACCAAATAGAGAATACATGTACAAAAGTTACTAGATTAATCATCCCTATGCAAAATTTGCAACTTTGCACAATGCTTCGAAAGTTTTTCCAAGCATTGTGCAACTCTTTCATGGACAACTTCACGAGTTCCCGAGTCTGGTTATCATGAAATGACTTCATTTCCTTTTGCATTGTTGCATCTCACTCAAGTAGATCTCTGAGACATATTGAGGTTCAACATAAAAGAACAAACTTCCATACTCCGTGATCAACGGATC